AACATGGAGAGGTTGTTAATGTCCTGCTGTATGTTAAAAAAATGGGTCTGCAATATCTCACTAATTTTTTAAAATTTTTATTGAATCTATTGGGTGATATTGGTTGATAAAATTACATAGGTTTCAGGTGTACAGTTCTATAATAACATCTTTTTTTTTTACTGTATTGTGTGTTCACCGCCCCCAAATCAAGTCTCCTTCCAACACCATTTATCCCCCTCTTACCTTCTTCTACCTGCCCCCACCCCTCTTTTCCTCTGGTAATCACCATACTGTTGTCTGTGTCTATGAGTTCTGTGTGTGTGTGTGTGTGTGTGTGTGTGTGTGTGTTATTTTTTGCTTAATCCCTTCACTTTTTTTCTCACTAATTTTTGATGAAGGTTTCCTGGACAACTCTTGACCGTATAAATGCCAAGGTTCTATGTGTTTCAGTTGACTTTCAGTAGACCACACCTGGATGGTGATGTGCTCTTGGGGGCCCCTATGGAGGACTGGTCTTCAAAGGTGGCATCCTGAGGAATGTCAAGAGGATCCGTGGGATCCATCAGGGTGATCTTGGAGTACTGCTTGGTGGCTTATTCAGTCTGAAACATCACTCCATCCTTACAGAGGAAAATCTATTCAACTAATCTCTTGCCAGGGATGACCAGCTCCTTGCAGGTTGAGTAGGTGGTGGGAGAGTGAGGCACAGGTGGAGGGGAGAGCCATGGGATGTGTACTCAGCTCTCCCTACACATCCGTGGAGTGGACGATACTGGTTCTATCCTAGACTGGGGTTGTAGAGAACTTTTACTTCCTCCATTATAGATTGTAGATCTCTGCGGTGTTTGACTTTTTCACAGTGTTCACCTATATTAGAAGTGGTGGGGAAAGGCAATTTTTTAAAAAATATATTTTATTCATTTTTTTACAGAGAGGAAGGGAGAGAGATAGAGAGTTAGAAACACCGATCAGCTGCCTCCTGCACAGCTCCTACTGGGGATGTGCCAGCAACCAAGGTACATGCCCTTGACCGGAATCGAACCTGGGACCTTTCAGTCTGCAGGCCGAAGCTCTATCCAATGAGCCAAACCAGTCAGGGCGAAAGGAAATTTTTAAGGGTTAATTTATTTCATCCCCTTCCTCCACTGGGTTCCAAGCATACTATACCGCCTTCTGTTATGGCTTCTGTTGTATGTGTTGGGGACAAATACCATTAAATGTAAATAGTTACAATTTCCCCCACCTGCCTTCCATGGGAGGTCAGATCCTAAAAGAGAGCCGTCTTCGTTTTCCCCAAGTGGATGACGGGTGCACATGAATAGGGACAAGCTGAGAGATGGCTAGCTGGTGTTACCTGTAAGGTGGATGAAGCCCCCAGGCAGAAAGCCAATTCTGAAGGCTGAGAAAGCAAAGAGGAGGAAGTGATGTGAGTGTTGCCCTCAGCAATGGAACTCTGTGAAGGGAGGGACTTGTAAAGGCATAATTAGGAAGTTATTCAATGTAACCCCCTCCTCCTATCCTCAAGAGACCTGCAGTGAAGCTCCCTGTGACTTTGCAAGGCTCTTTGGAAAAGCATTTCAGATGTGATGATGTGAAACATTAAAACTTAAGAATAGACAAGGAAGCCCTAGCCTGTTTGGCTCAGTGGATAGAGCGTCAGCCTGCAGACTGAAGGGTCCCAGGTTCAATTTCGGTCAAGGGCATGTACCTCCGTTGCAGGCTCCTCCCCCGCCTGGGTCAGGGCATTTGCAGGAGGCAGCCAATAGATGGGTCTCTCACACATCGCTGTTTCTCCCCCTCCCACTCTGGTGAGGATTTAAAAAAAAAAAAAAAGAATAGGCCAGGAAGTCCCAGATGTCTTTGCTGTGCTGTGGCCCTCACAGGAAGGAACTGTGCTGCCCAGGCAAAGGGAGTTCTGGTCAGCTCCATATATGACTCAGCAGACTCCTGGTTTATACCTTGGTCCAGCGGTTCTCAACCTGTGGGTCATGACCCCTTTGGGGGTCGAACAACCCTTTCACGGGGGTCGCCTAAGACCATCGGAAAACACATATATAATTACATATTGTTTTTGTGATTAATCACTATGCTTTAATTATGTTCAATTTGTAACAATGAAATTGGGGGTCACCACAACACGAGGAACTGTATTAAAGGGTCGCGGCATTAGGAAGGTTGAGAACCACTGCCTTGGTCTCTTGTGAGTTGCATCCTGAGAGACTGAGAGACAAGAGAGACTGACAAAATGGAATTTCTGGTCCTGCCGAACTGCAAACCAAATTCTATAGCAGTCACCTGACCAAGATGCTGCCCCCTCAATAGCCCTCCTGGGGCAGAGATTACTTCCTCATTTACTCTTCCATCTAAGAAATATTTATATTAGTCGCCAGGCACTAGGCTAAGTACTAAAGATACAATGATGCACATAAACAGATATGAGCCTAGCCTTCATGCAGTTTGTAATGTAGGGGGTGAGGGGTAGGACAGACATGAATCAAATTATGTCACAAATGTAAAATAATTGTGACAATTGCAGGAAATCCACACTTGCTTTGAGTGACTATAACAGAGGGGTTTGGCCTAGTCAGGGAGATCTGAAGGTGAGAAGGACATATGGAGGGAAAGGGGAGGGAAATGTGCTCCAGGCAGCCTTTGCGGAGGCCATGTAGGGGGACATGGCAGGTGTGAGACCCGAAGAAGACTGAGAAGGCTGAAACGGATTGGAAGAGGAGGGGTTGGAGCAGGAGACAGGGGTGCCACAACATGAACACACTCCAAGTTAAGAAGATTTCTCTAGCCAGAATGGATGAGGAGAGAAAACGTAAGAGGCTATTATTCAGACCTATTAGTGGATATACATCCCCCCAAATACCCACACAGGCCCCAAATACCCACACAGGCCCCAAATGCATGAGGTGTTCACTGTGGCAGGTCCATCACCCTAAATCTGCATGACTAAAATGTGGATGTCCACTATGAAATACTGCACAGTTGTTCTAAGTAACAGTCTAAGTATATACATAGCAATAAGAACAGGTCTTAAAAGCATAGCGCTGAGTAGAAAGAGTAAGAAATAGAGTAAGGTTTATGGCACAATACCATTTAGGTAAGTTAAAAATACACTCACACTAAACACCACACATGTTTTCCAAAGACACTCCCATACACCATTGGGGAAGGTGACAGGAGTGGAGAAAAGAGATAAAAAAGGCTGTAAATACATGAAACAGGAGAGAGGCCTTGCAGAGCCCTGATGATAGTGTGCTACAGTGAGAAATGAGTAATTCAAACTCTGCATCCAGGATTTTAAAAAATAAGGAGCTTTCGCAGTTGTTCAGGACAGCATGGAGGCACCTTGGACTAGGGTGGATGTGGTGGAGATGAAAAGTGGATTGGCTATGTTATACCAATGAATACATGTAACGCATTTCAACAGTGCCTGATACAGAGGAGGTGCCCAACAAATGCGAACTGTTCTTATTTTTATATTGCAGACACTTAGTGATGGATCGAATATGTAAGGAAAGGGAGAGGGTGGTGTCAAGGAGAACTTCCAGATGCTGGATCGGGCTATTGTTGCCAAGTGGGAGGTGAAAAAATGAAGTGAGGACCCACAATTCTTTTTGAGGAATGTGGATAGGAAAGGGAAGACAGAGTTACCCCTTACATGTGGACGACACTCTAAAAAAACACTTTTTAAAAATTAATCAAGCCCAGCCGGTGTGGCCCAGTGGTTGAGTCTTGACCCATGAACCAAGAAGTCCCCGGTTTGATTGCTGGTCAGGGCACATGCCTGAGTTTCGGGCTCAATCCCCAGTATGGGGCATGTGGGAGGCAGCCAATCGATGTTCCTCTCTTATCGATGTTTCTATCTATCCCTGTCCCTGCCTCTATAAAGTCAATTTTTAAAACATATTTTTAAAAATAAAATAAATAAAAGACGTCATATCTTTTTAAAAAGTAATCAAGTAAAACAGGTTTGTTGTAGAAACATCGTAAGAGATAAATTCAAACAAATTACTGAGTCCCAAATATCTCTGTGGAGCAACTAAGGTCCATATTTGACGTGCAGGAGAAATGGCTCCTGAGACCTTTACAAATGCAAACTTTGTGAAATCCCTGCTGGCATAAGTCTCTACAATGCAGGATATAGGGCTGAGTCTGGGTAAAAGGTCAAGTCATCCATTGAGATAGACACCACGGGGAAAGATAAAAAAAGCTGGTAGATGAAAATGATGCATGAAGTTTTGGGCAGAAACAGTTTGTGTTAAGTCTGAGATTCTTCTAATGAATACAAAAATATTGAGGGCCTATTACAGGCATGGGCAAACTACGGCCCGCAGGCCAGATCCGGCCCGTTTGAAATAAAAAAAATAAAAAAATGACCATACCCTTTTATGTAATGATGTTTACTTTGAAATTATATTAGTTCACACAAACACTCCATCCATGCTTTTGTTCCGGCCCTCCGGTCCAGTTTAAGAACCCACTGTGGCCCTCGAGTCAAAAAGTTTGCCCACCCCTGGCCTATTATGTGCCAGACACTATACTGGGTGCTGGGAATACATAGATGAACAAAACCAATGATCCTCACCTCACTGAGTTGGCCAGAGTACCAAATATTCAAACAGATAAATATGTAATAAACTTTGGTAGGGGTTATGTAAGAAATTATAAAATACTAGCATGTAAACCATTACAGGTAAATGTTTGTAAGACACCACAGCACTCGGACCAGCCAAACTTGCTTGTTTTTAAAATTATTTTTTAAAAATTAGACTTTTTTGTCCTCAGCAACCCTGAGGCAGAAAACAAGAGTTCTCATATACCCACTGCTCCCCCTCAACAATTTTCTTTTTTAATGTTTTTTATTTTTAATTATTCTTTTACAGAGGCTTTGGAGAATGGGAAAGGATGCTGAAAACACGCAAGGACCCCAGTTTGTTAAAATGAGGTTGAGCGTAAGAGTCGGGAATGGGTAAATAAAAACTACATTTCCCAAGGGGCAGCGCGGCACGTCACATAAAATGGACGGCGCACGCGTAAAGGGGTCCTCCGCGTTGCGACTCGGCTCTTAAAAGGGTACAAGAGTGGTTCTCGAGGTGCCGCGAATCTTCGAACGCAAGCGAGTTATTACCTACAGACTTTGAAAAGCATTCGAGGGACGCGCCTACACCCGCCCTCGCAGTTTCCAGCGCGCCGTGCTTGTCCCGCCCGTGGACCGGTAGGTGGGGCTGGGACCCGATCTGAGACCCGGGGAGAGTGGCGGGAACGTAGAGCTGGGGTCCTCCCACTGCCTCCCCATTTCCCGGCCTCGCTGAGGCGGCTCCCGAGAGACCGTGCGCACGCGCCTGGTCTCCCTGAGGAGGCGGGGCTCGGGAGGGAGAGGGGCCCCCCCGCGCGGGTCCTTGGGGTCTGCGCGTGCGCAGCAGGTCCCGCGAAGATGGGAAGCCGCAGTGGGCGGAGTTTGGTGCGGAGGCCGCAAAGGTGGGGTCCTCCGCCCAGGGGCGAGAAGGCGAGTGCTGAGTTGGGCTCCGAGCTCGGGCGGTTTTATTATATTCTCAAGACGCGCTCCTCCTAACAAAACAACCTCCTTCCCCCACCATATACCTCCAGTTGCCTTCCCTCAGTTGCCTCCGTTTGCAGCCACAACTTCAGTCTTGACTCACTAGCAGCGCCCCCGTCAGGCCCGGTCCGCTCCGCTGAAACCGCTCTTTCCCGAGGCCACCAGCCACCAGAGGCCCCCAAGCGCGCTGGGTCTCAGCCCCCGCGCAGTAGTTGATGCAGCTGATCACCGCCCCCTCGTGAAACACCTGCATTTGGTGAGGGGGACGTTCTCGTCCTTGGCCTCCTTGGCCTCGGCGCCCTGGCCTCCTGCTGATGCTCGCCCTCTTGCTGTAATGCTTGCCAAGGCCTCCTCCTAATCTCTCCCCTGCTTTCACTTCCGAGCAGTTACCCGTTTTCGAGGCTTTAAATATAAATGCCACCTGTTGTGACAACTCTCAGGTGTCTGTCTTCAAACCCAGAGCTCCACCCTGGACTCCAGGTTTTTCTTCAGCTCTCACGGGGCACCTCTTAAATATCTGAAATTTTGGGTTTTGCCCTTCACCTTCCCCCGTCTTCCCTTTCTTCCGGTTCCCCAGGCCAAACACCTTGAGTTATATCCTTGGTGTCTTTTGCATCTCCTCTCTCCTCCTCCATCAACCTGCCAGCACATAGTTATCCTTGAGGCTTTGAAAGTTCACGACTGGGTATTGGATGGTAGATAGTCCCTTTGGCACTTGGTTGGTTCTTTCTGCCTGAAAATTGTGTTTTCAGTTCTCTGATATTCTCTGTCATTATTGAGATTTATCTACTTAACTGTACTCTGTTGTAGATGTCCTTTTTAGAACATTTATTTCACCTACAGAGACGTATATGGAACTATTTGTTGAATGTCTGTGCTTCTTTCTGGACTGTTTGTTTCTCTCACTGTTCTATAGCCCACAGGCCTGGCACAGAGTAGGTGCTTGATAAATATTGGTAAATGAATCCTATATAATAAAAGGCTAATATGCAAATCGACCGAACAGCGCTATGACGCACACTGACCACCAGGGGGCTCAATGCAGGAGCTTCCCCCTGGTGGTCAGTGCGCTCCCACAGGAGGAGCACCACTCAGCCAGAAGCCCTGAGCTGGGCTCACAGCTGGCGAGAGCAGCGGTGGTGACGGGAGCCTCTCCCGTCTCCACAGCAGCATAAGGATGTCCGACTGCTGGCTTAGGCCCGCTCCAGTCGGACATCCCCCGAAGGTTCGCAGTCCTGGCTGAGGGACCCTCCACTCCCGAGTGCACAAATTTTGTGCACCGGGCCTCTAGTGAATTTATAAAAGGGAAGTACCTCGTCTCCATAGGTGGGAAGTAGACAATCCCTCTTAGAGTATGTTGGTAGCAACTACTATTTTCTGCAATCGGGAAGAAGATCCTGAATAGCCCAGCTTCAGAATTGCTGCTGCTTATCACTTGAAAGACCGTTTTAAGAGGTCGCCAGGATTCAGTTCAGCAATCTGTTTCTGAGGACTTAGTAGCTGCCAGACCCTGTGTTTGTTCCTGGGAATAGAAAGTGAACAAAATTGCATCCCATTCTGCTGAGAGTTCATGGTTTGGCAGGAGAGACAAGTAAGTGAAATGGTTAGTCTTTCTGTGTATGTGTGACAATAACAAGAATGAAAGTTTGCGTGTGGTGCTTGGACGTTTGATTGCGCTTGGTGTTGGGGCATACGAGAGGGGCCTGGGGCAGCCAGATCCCCCTGCCAGTCATTTCTGGCTATGAGCCGCTTTGTTCTCTACCCCAGTGCGCCATACAAATATTACCATGTTCTCTGTGCGCCGTGGTGTGGAAAGGGTTGGCCAGTACTGCTGTAAACTGTTAATGTTGCTGCCTTTTGATTTGAACCCTGAAGGATGAGTACATTTTCGAGATCCAGCGGCAAAGAAGGGGAAGAATTAAGGGCATTTCAGGGAAGCATAACCGTCCGGGCAGGCGTAACGGAAGTATGGAAGTCTGTGCTTGCTGGGGATGGGGGCGCTGGAATTGTTTGGTGTGGGTATTGTAGGGTAGGGTCACTAGGACAGGTAGATCTGATTGAGAAGTGCTGTCCAGGATACGAAGCAATGTCTTGGAAGTGTTTAATAAACCACAGTGTCCACTTAATAAATACCTGGCCCAACCACAAGGCACCCTGTTCTCAGTGGGTGGGTCCATCGCAGTCCAGAGTTTTTAGTGACCAACTTTCTGGAGCTAGAAGCAGAGACATAGTAAGTGACAAGCCATTTTTTTTCTTTTTCTTTTTCTTTTTCTCTTTCTTATTTCTAAATTTGTATACAAAGGTTTTTTGTTGTTGTTGTTTTATATTTTATTGATTTTTTCACAGAGAGGAAGAGAGAGGGATAGAGAGTTAGAAACATCGATGAAAGAGAAACATCGATCAGCTGTCTCCTGCTGGGGATGTGCCCACAACCAAGGTACATGCCCTTGACTGGAATCGAACCTGGGACCTTTCAGTCCACAGGCTGACGCTCTATCCACTGAGCCAAACTGGCTAGGGCTGTATACAAAGGTTTTAAAAATGTGTCTCATTTAGATTTTTTTAAAAATATATTTTATTGATTTTTTTACAGAGAGGAAGGGAGAGGGATAGAGAGTTAGAAACATTGATCAGCTGCCTCCTACACACCTCCCATGGGGAAGTGCCCGCAACTAAGGTACATGCCCTTGACCGGAATCGAATCCGGGACCCTTCAGGTCACAGGCCGACGCTCTATCCACTGAGCCAAACCTGTTAGGGCTCATTTAGATTTTTGATGAATTGTCTGCATTGGAAAAACATATTTAATTTCAGTCACTTCAGGATTTGTGGTCACTATATCCCTGGAGTGGAAGGTAGTTTGGTGAGTTGGGTGTTGATGATAATAAGGGCTGTTTGAGCCCGTAAGGCTTAGGTTTAGAGTCAGACAAATCTGGGTTTAAATCCCACTTCTGCCACTTCCTACTTGCATGAACTGGATAAAGTCACTTACATCTCCACAGTACTCAATGACTAGTACTTTCTTTGCAGGATTGTTAGGAGGGTTAAATAGGATAATCTACATAAACGTGCTTAGCACATGGTAGGTACTCAATAAGGAATAGCTGTTATTAATTTTCTACTGTTTTTTTTAGATGCCACAGTAAATTACCATCAGTGTAATCATAATAATCGAACAGATGATTGGTAGTTTACAGTGGCAGCTGCTTCTGTTTCCATGATCTCTTTTGCTATTGAATATGTGAAGTTGTGGCAAAACAGAATTGGAAGGAAGAGCATAGATTTTAGAGTTCTCAGCCTTGGAATCCCAGCTTAATAACCAGTATTTCCTGACTGAGTGACCTAGTATAACTTAACCTATCTGAACTTCAGTTTCCCTAGATCAGTGGTTCTCAACCTTCTGGCCCTTTAAATACAGTGCCTCATGTTGTGACCCAACCATAAAATTATTTTTGTTGCTACTTCATAACTGTAATGTTGCTACTGTTGTGAATCATAATGTAAATATCTGATATGCAGGATGGTCTTAGGCGACCCCTGTAAAAGGGTCGTTCAACCGCCAAAGGGGTCGAGACCCACAGGTTGAGAACCGCTGCCCTAGAGAGAAAGAGTGTGCTATAGGATTGCTATAAGATTTAAATGAGAATCACCTGTGTAAGCTCCATTACAGACGGTCCAAAGTGGGGGAATGTTATTCTCTCCTTAACTTTAAAAAAAGCCGATTAATGAATGCAAATTCTTATTGATAGTGGCTGGGTTGAGGGTATGGGGTCTGAGGGTAGTATTTTAGATCCCTTTCTTCCCTTTGATTCAGAACAAAGCTTGTATTGTCTTACGCCCTATGGGATTATTTTTAGAGTGGTTTACGTATAGGATGTTTGGATTTGTATGAGGCCTTGACTGCTGGTTGAGGGCCAGAGTGTTGTTTTATGCTGGACGTTTAGCAGTTATATGCTTCCTTCCTGCAACCTTTGTACCTAAGTGTTACCTCTTAGGTACACTTAGTGTGGTCAAACTTCTCAGTTGCAGATAAGAAAAAGCTAACCCAAACACTAGCCCAGGGGGAAAAGGGTATAGGATTGCTATACGGTTTAAATGAGAATCACTTGTGTAAGCTCCATTAAGCTTATTGACTCTTTTTTTTTTAATATATATTTTATTGATTTTTTTACAGACAGAAAGGGAGAGGGATAGAGAGTTAGAAACATCAATGAGAGAGAAACATCGATCAGCTGCCTCCTGCACACCTCCTACTGGGGATGTGCCCGCAACCAAGGTACATGCCCTTGACCAGAATCAAACCTGGGACCTTTGAGTCCACAGGCCGACGCTCTATCCACTGAGCCAAACCGGTCAGGGCAAGCTTATTGACTCTTAACTAAAGAGGCCTGGGTGTACCAGCTTCAGGCACAGCTAGATCCAGACAACTAAACTATGTCACCAGTGTTTTCTGTCTCCGCTCTGCTTTCCTCCATGTTGGTTTCTCTCTTAGGCAGGCAAAAGCCTCATCAGTTCCAGGCATCCCTGCTACTCTCTTAACCAACAACTGAAAGGCAGTATCTCTTTGCACATAGCTTCAGCAAAAGATCTGAAATTGATTTTTGTCCAGACTTGGGTCACAGCTTTCTTCCTGAACCAGTCATGGTGGTCAGGGTGAATGTCATATTTTCATTGGCCCAGGCAGGATTCTCATCCTTGGAGCCAAGGTGAGAGAGAGAGTTTCCCAAAGGAAATTATAGAAAAGGTCCCAGGCAAGACACTCAGAGGTTGCTACTGTGATGGTATTAGGGCAGCTTTCTTGCAAATAATGAAATTACACTCTTCACAAGATATTGGAAGAAGAAGAAAACCTATTTGAAGGTCCTGGGGAGTAACCAGAAACAGGCAGTAACTGGACAGGAGTTGGTACCCAGAAGAAAGGAATGACACTGGTGAGTTTCCTATTTGTTTGTCATCGTATTTAATGCCTTGTGGGCATGATGATAAAAGTGCATCTTGGGAAGAAGATAGCCAAGAGAAGGAGTTCCAAATCTTTATATAAAAATAGTTTTTTGAACCCTGGCTGGTGCGGTTCACTTGGTTGAGCATTGTCCTGTGTGGTGACAGGTCACCAGTTCGATTCCTGGTCAGAGCACAAGCCCAGATTTCAGGTTCAGTCCCCAGTTGGGGTGCGGTGCGTACAGAAAGCACTGATCAATGTTTCTCTCTCACATCAATGTGTTGTTGTTGTTGTTGTTGTTTTTCTCTCCCTCTCCCTCTTTCTATAAAATCAATTAAAAAAAATATTTTAGAGAAACTAAGATGGCGGCATAGGTAAATACCGGGAAATTGCTGCCTCCCACAACAACTTCAAAAATACAACGAAAAGACAAAACGGGCATCATCCAGAACTACAGGAAGGCTGGCTGAGTGGAAATTCTACAACTAGAAGGAAAGAAAAGCACACTGAGAGCCAGAAGAGCTGCGGAAGTAAAGTGCAGAGGTACAGAGGCTCGCGCGCGCGGGAAGGAGCTGGCACCTGAGGACGCGGCTGTCTTTTTTAATCAGGAGGGAGTCACAAGCTCCCGACTGCTCTAAACTCCGGTTCCGGGAAGTCTCTGGGGACCCAGGACTCATACGGGGAGAAACTGGACTGTCTGGCAGCAGGCAGAACTCTGAACTTGAGGGCGGCTTTCCCTCAGAGGTGCTTGCAGCAATTACCGGGACACTGAGACACGCGGCCCCTTAGGGCAGGGCTGAGGATCCGCCATAGCTGCTTGCTCTGCCCTTTGATTCCCTGAGACCCTGCCCCACCCAGGCTGCAGCAGAGGCTTTTGCATATGAATGCCCCGGCCCTTTGCAACCTGAAAATTACCTAACAAACTGCAGCTGGGCCAGACAGACCCAGAACTTCCAAGAGAAGGCCCAAGGCCCCACAGCAGCTTGCATTGCTTCACAGCTGGGCTTCATCAGGGCACCTCCAAACTCCAAAAAAGGAAGGGGAATCTGCAGTTCTCTTCGTAGCTCCTGCTGGGTAACCTCAGGCCAAGGCTAAATTAGCACCTCCTTAGATCCAAGAGCCACTGTACCCAGTGGTCAGAGGGGGACCATCCAGATTACAACTCCTCAGATCCATAAGGGGCACACTCAGGGCGCAGACTCAGTGAGCATCAAAGCCCCACTGAAGCAAGTCTTGCCCCAGAAGGGTGTCTTCAGCACAGAAGTTCTCCCACTGCAGACACAGCTGATTCTCACTGTCAATTGGCCTGGAGGTCAATTCCTCCCAGTGATCCTACAGCAGTCAAGGCATAACTACAACAAGACTGTGCACAAAGCCCACAAGGGGGTGCACCAAGAGTGTCCACCTCAGGTAACTGGGGAGGCTGAGCCCCTGGGCCCTACAGGACACCTAGCACACAAAACCACTCTACCAACATGGAAGCATAAAAAATGCGGAGACAAAGAAACAGGTCACAAATGACAGAAATGGAGGAAAGCAAACGACTGGATATAGAGTTCAAGGCCACGTTTATAAGGTTTTTCAAGAATTTTATGAAACCGCCGATAAATTTAGTGAGACCCTGGAGGATATGAAAAAAGACCAACTAGAAATTAAGCATACACTGATTGAAATAAAGAATAATATACAGAGATCCAACAGCAGACAAGAGGATCCCAAGAATCAAGTCAAAGATTTGAAATACAAAGAAACAAAAAATACCCAACCGAGAAAGAAAAAAGGAAAAAGATTCCAAAAATATGAAGATAGTGTAAGGAGCCTCTGGGACAACTTCAAGCGTACCAACATCAGAATTATAGGGGTACCAGAAGAAAAGAGAGGGCAAGATATTGAAAACCTATTTGAAGAAATAATGACAGAAAACTTCCCCTACCTGGTGAAAGAAGTAGACTTACAAGTCCAGGAAGCGCAGAGAACCCCAAACAAAAGGAATCCAAAGAGGACCACACCAAGACACATCATCATTAAAATGCCAAGAGCAAAAGACAAAGAGAGAATCTTAAAAGCAGCAAGAGAAAGAAACTCAGTTACCTACAAGGGAGTACCCATACGACTGTCAGCTGATTTCTCAACAGAAACCATGCAGGCCAGAAGAGAGTGGCAAGAAATATTCAAAGTGATGAATAGCAAGAACCTACAACCAAGATTACTTTATCCAGCAAAGCTATCATTCAGAATAGAAGGTCAGATAAAGAGCTTCACAGATAAGAAAAAGCTAAAGGAGTTCATCACCACCAAACCAGCATTATATGAAATGCTGAAAGGTCTTCTTTAAGAAGAGGAAGAAGAAAAAGGAACTCTTACCATTTGCCACAGCATGGATGGAACTGGAGAGTGGATAAATACCACATGATCTCACTCATTTGTGGAATATAATGAACAACATAAACTGATGAACAGGCCTTGGAGGGAAGGTAGGGGAGGGTGGGGGTAAGGGGGAAAGATCAACCAAAGGACTTATATTCAAGCATATAGGCCTAACCAATGGACACGGACAACGGGGAGGGGTGTTGGTTGGGGGTAACGTGGGGATAAGGACACATGTAATATCTTAATCAATAAAAAATATATTAAAAAATATATATTAAAAAGTGTTTTGGGGTGGTAAACACACAATACAGTGTACAGATGATGTGTTGTAGAATGTGCACCTGAAACCTGTATAATCTTGTTGACCAGTGTCACCCCAGTAAATTCAGTAAAAAGTAAAAACAAAACGACGACAAAAAGTAGTTTTACCCAAGTGTCCATCAGCTGATGAATAGATGAACAAAATGAGGTCTATCCATACAATGGAATGTTATTCGGCCATAAAAGAAATGAAGTACTGATACATTCTGCAACATGGAGGAACCATGAAAACATCATGCTAAGAAAAAGAAGCCAGTCATAAAAGGCTGCATAGTGTATGATTCTGTTATATGAACTGTCCAAAATGGACAAATCCATAAAGACAGAAATAGAATAATGGTTTCCAATGACTGGGGGGAGGAGGGAATGGGGAGTGACTGCTGGTGGGTAAAAGTTTCTTATTGGGGAGATGAAAATATCCTAAGATAGTGGTGATGGTTACCCAATTTTGTGAATATACTAAAAAACACACAACACTAAATCAAACACTTTAAAAGAGTGAATTATATCGAAATTAAACTGTTCTTTTAAAAAATCTGCCAGACTTCTGAACTAGGCAAGCCTGGGGCATACTCCAAGCAGCTCAGCTAACACAGACAGCGCTGTACAGATTTCAACTGATACCTACCAGGAAGACACTGGGAGTCTGAGTTCAGTTATGTTTAAAAATATCAGAATAGTGCTTCCCTCTGTGGGTAGAACTGGATGGTGTGGCCTTCTAAGTCACTGGAAAGAAGAGAGAGTGTAGGAGCCAAAAAGTTCAGAGCACTGACGCTGCGTCTGTGATGCCTGGAACCTTGCAAGACTTGCCAGTCTCGGATGTCCTTCTGGACGAAGCTGGGGATGCGAGGGAAGCCTGTGTCCCGGGTGCCAGAGGGAAGCTGGTGCCGGCAGCCGGGGGAAGGAAGGCCTACTATTGCATGAATTTCGTGCATCAGGCCTCTAGTTAATCAATACTAATACAAGAATAAACTGTGTTTCATATACTCACAACTGTAAATCTACTTTTGCCCCAGCCAATACAGCAACAACATTGACTATAGTTAATAATACTGTATCATATACTTGAAAATTGCTAAGAGAGTAGATTTTTAAGGCTTCTTACCACAAAAAACAAAGGTAACTATGTGAGGTGATGCTTGTGTTAATTTACTTGATTGTAGTAATCATTTCACAGTGTGTTTATTAAATCATCATGTTGTACACTTTAAATATATACAATTTTATTTGTCAGTTCTACCTCAATAAAGCCTGGGGGTGCAGCAGAGCCTCCCCATCCTGGAAAAAAAAAAAAAAAAAAGACTTGCCAGTCTCATGGTTCAAGAACAGTGATAAGATCACCTGGAACCCTGGACTCTGCTAGCAGCAGCCGGGAGCTGCGTGGCCTCCGTCAGGTGCACATAAGGTCGGGTGTGGTTCCAGTCCCAGTACCTCGTCCCTGCTTGCTCTGCACCAGTAGGCATGGCATTCTCATCGTAGTGAGCCTCTGCTTAGAGTGTGTTTTGTGAGAAAATCCAAGTTCATAGCTGACCAGATCTGGAGGTAGCAGTAGTTTGTTGTAAAATCATAAACGAGGTGGTTCGCCGAGGCAAGGCCCTTCCCAGCAGGCCCAGTGACCCTCCGGAGTCCTGCGCTCCTCTCAGGACTTCCAGATTCTCTCCCGTGGGTAGAAATGAGGTAACATGGAAGCATTTTAAGTCACAAGTCACCGTTTATATGTGTGCGGAGGCGGATGATTGGTGGAGGGCCTGGGTGTTGGAGGGGCCTCCTTTCCCACGGCTGCCTGCTGGTTGTAGGTTAGGCCCTGCCTGGTTTGGTGTATGACCTCCTTCCCCTCCAGACCACGTGGTCAGCTTTTTCATCTTGGTTTGCTGAACATTTCAGCCTCATCTTGTGTGTCTGTCTCAGCAACCACCATTTATAAAAGGTTTTAAGAAATACATACTTTTCGCCCTAACTGGTTTGGCTCAGTGGATGGAGCGTCTGCCTATGGACTGAAAGGTCCCAGGTTCGATTCCGGTCAAGGGCATGTACCTTGGTTGCGGGCACATCCCCAGTAGGAGATGTGCAGGAGGCAGCTGGTCGATGTTTCTCTCTCATCGATGTTTCTAACTCTCTATCCCTCTCCCATCCTCTCTAAAAAATCAATAAAATATATTTTTTTTAAAAAAAGAAATACACACTTTTCACCTTGTGTATATATGTAGTATCACTAGAGAAATAAAATACCCAAAAAACAATAGTGATTGCCTCTAGGGGTGGGAGGCATTGTACTTCTTGAGTTGTGTGACTATTTTTTAC